AGATCACGAGCAAACTGGAATGAATAGCAAAAGGGTGTAATCAAATTCTGAGGTGTTGTAACCCATGATCACATTCTGCCTCTGTGCAATAGTCTGTGAGCATTGTGGAGAGGTAGGTCTAGTGGAACAATTAGTATCTGTGGGAATTATATATTAGATATATAAATCAGTGTGCATATATTTACAAGGACCTTGACTCCATCATTGAACCATGGATGAATGAATTTATCAGTTAGACAAAAAGGGGCTGAGGGACTTTATCTTCGTCCTGGTGCCCGAACCCCTCAAGGGATGAGGATGGTGCTATTCTTACTGAAAATGAGGAGAAGCGACAGACAGGCACCATAGGGTCATCATTATAGAGGTTCTCTGCCAGACCACATTCCAACTGACAGGGACCCAACTGCCTCCATCAAGTCAGGCTGAGGAGGGTGCTCTTGCTTCCTTGCAGGGGTCTATTGCAGCCCAGAGCCCTCTGAAGTCCAGACCACTAGATGAGACCTGCTGAAGTCATCTGAAGTAAATCTACAACGCCTTCAGCAGTCTTCCCCTTCCCCAAGTTCAGCTGTGGCTACTAAGGTGGCACCAAAGACATTGCAGAAATAAAGGTTTATAGAGTCATACAGCACAGAAACAGAGCTTTCAATCCAACTCATCCATGCTGATGAAGTTTCCCAAACTAAATTAGTCCCGTTTGCCTGTGTTTGGCCCATGTACCTCTAAACTTTTCATAATCACGTACCTATCCAAATGTCTTTTTAAAGGTTGTAACTGTACCAACATCTATCACTTTCTCTGGCAGCTTGTTCCACACATGAACCACCCTCTGTGTGAAGAAGTTGCCACTCAGGCCCTTTTAATTTTTCCTTGTCTCACCTTAAAAAATTCCCGCTAGTTGCGAACTCTCCTACCCTAGAGGAAAGAACTTTGCTATTTACCTTATCTGTGCCTCTCATGATTCTATAAACCTCTGTAATGTCATCCTCAACCTCCTACGGTCCAGTGAAAAAAGTCTCAGCCCTCCTTAAAACTCCAATATTCCAGTCCCAGCAACAACCTTGTAAATCTTTCCTGAGCCCTCTCCAATTTAATGATATCCTTTCTGTTGCAGGGTGACCAAAACTGGACACAATATTCCAAAAGTGGTCTTACCAACATCATATACAACCGTAATATGACGTTCCAACTCCTATGCTGAATGGTCTGAGCAATGAAGGCGAGCATGCCAAATGCCTTCTTAACCGCCCAGTCTATCTGTGACGCAAATTTCAAAGAATTATGCACCCGAACTCCTAGGTCTCAATGTTCAACAGGGCCCTACCCATTAACCTTGCATTTATCCAAATTAAAATCCATCTGCCACTGCTCACCCCATTGTCCTAATTGATCAAAATCCTTTTGTAATCTTAGAAAGCTTCTTCACTCTCCAAATCAGCACCAATTTTGGTAACATCCACAAACTTACTAATCACGTTTCCTAAATTCTGATCCAAATCATTTATGCGACTCAATGACTTTATGAAAAGCGACAGTGTACCCAGTGTGCTATCCCTGCGGAACACCAATGATCACAAACCCCTAGACTGAAAAACAACGCTCCACTATCACCCTCTGTCTCCTACTGTTTTGATTCACTCAGTTGAATGTGGTTGTACTGTGCAGGGACACATGCAAACAGACATTGGGCTCTTACTGTTTTGTGTATTGTGTACGATGCCTTCTTTTGGGAAATACCTTAGAAGAGAAATAGTGGTTGCTACTTTTTAATTCAAATCATTCACCCTCTACCTTTCCCCTCTACACACTATTTGCTGTTAGATTCCTGCTTTTCCCTGATCCCTACACCATCCAGGTCCCTATGCCCAGCTTTTACAAGTTCTTTATTCAGTAAACCTACTCTTTGTTCCTCCCCAGCACAATTAATTACCCATTCGTGTTCCCCAACCTTGATGTATAGCTTCTACTCTTCCTTGTCTCCTTGTACCCTTGACCCTATAAATATGATTCTTCCCTCAGCTTCATAGTTTCCTCCCTCCATTCCCCAGGATCCTTCTGTGCCTGACAACATTTTCCTTCAAGTTTAATTCACTGCTGTTCCTTTCAGCCTAATCCACCCATTTCCTAAAACTTTGGAAGTGAGATCCAGTTTGAGTTAAGCCCTGATTTCCTGTGTCATTCAGGCTTGTCAGCCACTTTGGCTGTCTCGTAGTATCCTTACAATGTGGAAGCAGGCCATTTGGTCCATTAGTCCTCACACCAACCCTCCAAAGAGCATGCCACCCGGACCTAGCCTCACCCTATCCGTGTAACCCTGCATTTCCCATGGCTAACCCACCAAGCCTACACATCCCTGGACTCTACGGGCAATTTAGTGTGGTCAATCCACCCAATCCATACACCTTTGGACTGTGAGAGGAAACCAGAACACCCGATGGAAACCCATGCAGACACAGGGAGAATGTGCAAACTCCACACAGACAGTCACCCAAGGGTAGAACTGAACCTGGGTTCCTAGCACTGTGAGGCAGCAGTGCTAATCACTGAGCCATCATGCCACCCACTTGGGCAGGATTTTTAAAGTCTTCACCTCGCTATCGTAAGCATTTACGAACTATAAGCAAGTCTGCATATGACTGAGACTTCTCATGAGCTGGTTGGTCCAGTCAGGTTGCCCTTTACATTGTAAGCATTTGTGCAAAGAAAAGGTTTGGTTATGAAGTAGCCAAGTTATTAAAGAAGTTTGTACTCACCAGAGCTTGAAGAAGTATGTCCCACCAGGTACATGACTTGTATTTATAGTCAGAATTGCGAACATACATGCTTCACATTTTTATGCCTCGCAAGATTACAGACTTGTATATTATTCCTGTGGTGTGGGGTGTTGATGAGTATCCATTATATGTTAATGAATAGAAACAAGATTATAGACCATCAGGTCCAGGAAAGCCGAACCACCTGCAAGGTTCTGAGAGGACCAAAATTTTAACCCATTCTTAGGAACCCGAATCTTTTCCTCCCACCCAAATACATTCATCCACCAGCCCAAGTAAAAGCTCCAAGCAGGCTTGGAAAATTCTACCCATTGAAGCAGGAACTGGTAACCAAAAATACATAAGGACCCGGTAAATATCATTGGTTGCAATATTTGATTCAGTAAGCTTGATGTGAGATTCAGACTGGGTATTCACGTTGAGTTAAATCTTCAAAATACTAAAGCTTGGAATTTGCTGAAAGAAATTAAGCTTCCACAATAAAGAAAAAATTCAGAGGTATAAAGAAGTGAATGTAATGTTGGCTTAAGATCTCTGAGTTAAAGGAGAATCCGATATTCATGCAAGGATCATTAAGTTCTAATTTGATTACTCTCATTTTAAGAAGAGTTTCTTCCCCACTGTTAGCAGACTTATGAACAGACCTCTCATATATTACAGTTGATCTTTTTCTGCACTTTCTCTGCAGCTGTAACACTATATTCCGCATTCTGTTCCATTACCCGGATATACTTAAGTAAGGTATGATTTGCCTGGTTAGCTCACAAAACAACAATTTTCACTGTATCACGGTACACGTGACAATAATAAATCAAGTCAAGTTTGTATTCTGAAGATTCTAGTCTCAAAAATATAGCATACACAACCTGCATTTTCAAAATGGTTAGCAGTCAGGCCAAATCCTGGATATTCTGAATCCTGGACTTATTGTAGAAGTTTCTGAGATAATCTAATAGGATAGAGCCTTGACTCAACCCAAACGTAGCCAAGTGGAGCAAAGGAAGCAGTAGGAGAACAGAAACATCAGATGACAGTTTATTTGCCCTGGACTTTCACTGGGACCAGATACAAGACAATGGAAATATTCCTGGGGAGACCAGATATACCTTCAGAAAAGAATGAATAGGACACAAGTAGAAGTCCAAACCCAGACTTCAGGGATCAAGGTGGAAACATTTTCTCTGCAGGTTGTAAAGCAGCTCTTTTACACGTTGAGCATATAGAAGTTTCTGCAGGGCACCCAGAATCCCCTCTTCATGTCATTCCTTTACATTAACACCCTTTTTGTTCCTAGTGTCACAGGTACCCAATATTTTAAAGCAGATTATGGGGCTCCTACCTATCTGCATGGTTGTTGGCAAACATGTTACTAGTGTAATTGTAAGGATTGCTGGCTCCACATTTTCATAGCTTTTAGTTTCCTACATGCTATCATCTCTTTTATGGTTTAATTCTGATGTGCAGCACCCCATGTTTTAACGCATTTTCTACACTTCTTAGCCAGCTGTCAAGTATTTGCAGCGGTCAGGCTTTGACATCCTGGTCATACTTCATGAAGTTTTTTTTCAAACAATATACCCAAATTTAAAAAGTTCTCTCCAGGTGTAATCACATTTCTTTCACTGTATTTTGTTCAGGTAATGATTTGGCAGCATTAACAAGACAAATGTTTAACGTACCTAAATGGAATTCCTTTTCCTGCTATATTTGCAAATGCTGTGTTCTCATGCTAACTAGTTATGAACTTATCTGCCAAAAGCAGCAACAGTTGTTTCTAGGTTCGAAGGGAATCTTCTGGTTATTTAGATTTCTGTTTTGATTTGATTTCATACATAACTATTTTAGAAACAGATGCCTTATCCATTGAATAAATGATTGATTAAAATGACTGTTCAAGTAAATGGATATTTGACACCTAATGGGATAGTTATGAGATTAGGTTTCTGAGCTGTACATCATTTAACATTGGTTAGAGTGTCTTGTCAGATCTCAGCCAGATCTCCCCAGAGCAGGAAACTAACTGCTATAATTAGTTTCTACCCAGTCAGATATAATCTCCTGCTGTCAGATAATGGATTGTCGGCAAAACCAGTTGTGGATGTGAGTGAAAACTGTTGTGTATTTCCTGGAAGGGCTGTGTTAAGAAGCAGCCTGCAGGGGGAAAAAGAAGAGGATAAACTGGAAGCACAATTAAATTGTATTTTTCTTTACCCTTTTCTATCTTTACAGACCTCCTGCCAGCATGCGATGGGGAAGGAGTAACTTTCACTTTCTTGGAACAAGTTTTGGACATTCTCCTTGAATACATTTTGAAAACATTTGATAGATCTACAAAAGTAATAGATTTCCACTACCCTGATGAACTGCTTGAGGGATTTAACTGGATGCTGGATGAACAGCCGAATACTTTGGAAGACATTCTGGCGACTTGCAGAACAACACTTAAATATGCTGTGAAGACAGGTATGAAAACAAAACTGCTCGTTGCATGTCGTGAAGCCAGTGTGATGTTGATTTCATTTAGTAAATTTTTTTGTCTAAGGTGTATCTGTACAGTCTGACTGACAGATAAGACATGTGTAATAATTATCACAAATATTTCACAATGGTTTACCACATGACCTCCCTTTAAACTATCAAAATGCGTAACTACTTTTGAAATGATATATGTGGTAACAGCAGATAAGGACTATTGGACTGCAGCAATCCAGCTGAGAAATGGTATAACTTGTTGTACAAGTTTTTTGGATTGGTGTATCATTCACTGCTTGATCTTATGACCTGAATTCATGGTACACTGAAAATCACATTAGCTACTCCAGTGAAAGGCTATTCATCAAGATCATTCTCTCTCTACAATCCTGGTAGCATGATCTACAAAGTACCAGAGTTTAATTTGTAGGGTCATGTGGTTGGATGCTTGTCTAGAGTGACATTCAGATTCTTTTACCGAGTTGACCAAGTTTTGGCAGTCATCAAACTTTTAAGTGCTAAATCTCTTGCAGAAGGGAAAGAACAGAAACAGCATAAGGTTTCAAAGGAGGATAAACAGTCTCCCAACCTACTGCTTTCCAGTTAATTGGTTTACTGCTTCTGAGGTTTTCTGAAATGTATTCTTGACCCAAATACAAAGGATTAGTTCTAATTCAGAGATCTGAAGCGGAGTCATACTGGCCTCAAAACATTAAATCTGTTTCTCTCTCCTCAGTGCTGCCAAACCTGCTGAGTCTCTCCAGCATTTTCTGTGTTTGTTTCTGATATGTGCAGCTCCTTCTGACTATTCATGAACCAGACAATTTCAGGTCATGCAATGGGCTGGATTTTCACAAAAGCAGGAACGATCTCTGAGTAGACAAAATAGCACTGGAGACCTGATTCCATTCCTGCTCCTAAATATGGCAAGTGATTAACACTGGGAGGAATGAGGCAGGGGTGTAAATTACATACCTTCACAGATGTAAGTGCATAAGTAAATGTATAGCTGCCTTCAAACAGCTCCTATTTTCATTAGTATTTAAAACACAACTTGTGGACTTTACATTTTCCAGAGAAGATCTAAGCTGGAGACATCCTTGTACACCTTTTGGGTGAGGTAATGTGCCCTTTTGTAGGGGTCAAGTGCCATTTGGGATTGTTGAAAGTAGACATGAGTGTGTGCAAAGTAGTAAATGCTTTAGAATTGTGAAGGGAATTGCAAAGATGTCAAAGCATTTAAATTTCCTGACTTTTAAATTTAAAATCAAGTAGTCTGCTGTTTTCTTTTAAATAAGTGATCACTATTTCACTGTTGACATAAGCCTGAGGACTACCATTACATGTTTAGCGTAGCATGATGACTTTACAACCTATTTTTGTCAGAGTAAGGTCCTTGTCAGCTCACAATTTGATTGACTGCTCTAAGTGGTTATGAAGCCTTTGATGTGAGGTTATGCTTGTAAATTCTCAGTTCTATAAGAGAATACTTTGTTGAAGAAACCTAAATGTATTTTTTAACCAATTATGTTTTTGTTTCACATAGAAACTTTAAACATTGTTTTACTTTTGTTTCAGCATGGGTGCTAATATTTCCCCATAGTTTATAGATGAGATCACATGAAGACTTTAAAGGCAAAGGTTGGAGGTTTAAGTATGTGGCTTGCAGGAGTTTACTCTAAATTAGCACTGGAGAATGAAAGGCTATGGGGTGTGGGTAGATAGGCATAGGTTGACATAAAGGGATGAGGGTCCATGAAAGTTTAAAGGGTATAGGTTGGCTTGGAGAGTACACAGAATGCCAGTTCTGAGGAAGGGTCGCCAGACCCAAAACGTTAACTCTGTTTTCTCCTCCACAGATGCTACCAGATCTGCTGAGTTTTTCCAGCAACTTTGTTTTTGCTCCTGATTTACAGCATCTGCAGTTCTTTTGGTTTTTACACAGAATGCCAGGGTGTCTTGGGCATAACAGCTTATAAGTTAGCATGGATGGGGCAGAGGAAATAGTTTGGGGTGAGGCAATGTGGCAGAATAAGGGTTAGAGAGTTGTTTTTGTTTTCTTGATAATTTTTTTCATAGTTGGGACAAAATGCCAGAGCCACGAGGCCACTTTTCAGACAACCTGTCCCCACACCAGACAGATCCTCTGACTGCCTCTGCACCTTTTGGAAGGAACAACCTCCAGTACATCCAACCCCCAGAACCAAAATTGGTCCATCCAGGGCACTTGCTCCCATTTGCAGAGATGAAAATTTTCCAAACTCTGTGCTCATGTCTCGGGGCAGAATTAAGGCATCATGGTAGGAAAGAGCAATGGAGAAGCACCTTGGAGAGAAATAAAAAATATATCTTCCTCTCATTTATAAGATGAAAGAAAATTGTCAATCAGATCGAGGCTTTTGGCAGTCATGCCCTTCAGCCCCTTAATTATGGGTAATACACGGTGACCTGATTAGTATTTTCCTTGCCTCCTTTTGTGCATGGTATATCTTCATAACATTCTCTGAGTGGACCTGCTTTGACCAGCAATGTATAATGTCAGAGTCCACAGATGTAAATCCTTTGTTTCAACATTCAATGGTACAATGGCATGCAGAAGTATTTGCTTTAGCTCAGAAACAGAAAAAAAAGTCGTCTGCTTGGAGAATCTAGAGCACAACTCAAGAATCTTAAGATATAGTGATAGGTTATTCCAGATGAAATCACTTCGGGGCTCTTTTGGCACAGTGGGAGTATCCCCATCTCTGAACCAGGTGATCTGGGTTCAAGTCCCACCTGCTCCAGAGGTGTGTAAGAGCATCTCTTAATGCGTTGTTTAGAAAATAGCTTTTTGTTTAGGAGTGAAATCAGGAAGCACTTTTGTATTCAAAGGGGAGTGAAAATCTGAAACTCAATCCTCGAAATGGCTGTGGATGTGGCGTCAATAGACATTTTCAAAAATGTGACTGATAAGTTTTTATTGGGTAAGGGCAGAACAGGATATGGAATCTTTGAAATGTCTCTCCTGCAGATTTCAGCAGTTCAAGGAAACGACTCACTACCATCCTCTCAAGGGCAATTCAGGATATGTGATAAATCCTGGCCTAGTCCACATGTTGTGAAAAAATATTTTTATTGAAAAATCAGCAAAGATGTGATTGCATGATGGAATAGACTTGAGGGGCTGAATCACAGAAGCCCTACAGTGTGAAAGCAGGCCATTTGGCTCACCAAGTCCACAGCAACCCTCTGAACAGCATCCCACCCTATTCCCGTAATACTGCATTTCCCCTGGCTAACCCATCTAGCCTACACATCCCTAGATACTATGGGCAATTTAGTATGGCCAATCCACCTAACCCACGATGACCTATAATGGTCCTACATGATGAACACTTTTACATTTTCCCCATTTATTCCTTTGTTTTAGAACTGTCTTTTTCTGTATTCATCAATGAGTAAAGATCATTTGCTAATCAAAGACGAAATAAACTGTAACACGAGAACACTGGTTTTGCGTTAGTTAGTAAATTGAGTCCAGGATTTGAATGCAGCATTAAAGAACCAGAGATAAGAGTTGCATCAGTTAATCTGACATAACCAATGACACCAACCCATGTTTAAACTCCTCTGATGTTAATGTTCTTTTAAAATACTAAACTCCTCTGATGTTAATGTTCTTTTAAAATACATCAATTGTTTCATTTGAGCTTCTCAGTAAATAAAATTGGAATCTGGGAACAAACTGTTACTTTACAAATACAATTAAAATAAAGCCAAACCCAAGTATATTGCTGCTCTGTCACACATTGTCTGGTTTAAACTTGATTTCCAAGTCATTTTGCTCTAGTTGTTCATGTAGTCAGATTAAAAGGAAAGATAAGTCCAGGCATCTCTATAGTTTCTAAAAGCTAGTGAGTTGTAAGCAACATTTTGTTTACAATAATTGTACAAAACAATTGCCCTCTTTACATGTAAGAACATTGTCAATTTCAAATGTTAGATGGCTTAACATCCTTACCTTCTATGAAGTTGAGATCCCTTTTAACTTATTCTAACCTGCTCTTATCATTGCCACAGTTCAATCTTTTTAAGTATCATGGTGATGGTTTTCCAAGACATGGCCTAAATTTTTAATCGAGGTAAGGATTAGCAGCGGACCGGTGTGCAAATTGGCACTGCCTAGACTCCTTTATGAAAATCTGAATCATTTACAAAGAAATCGGGATGGGGTTGGATTGGCAGCTTGCTAGTGAGAGGCAGGTATTCAGGCACTGGCAAATTGATATAATTCAGTGGTCTAGTAAGGCCCTGTTCTCACCCTCACTAAGATGTACAGATGGCATGCAGGCAGTGTGGTCCTCCAAGATCATGTCCTTGTAGCTTTTCTTTCAGACATTCAAGGGATGTGGGCACCACTGGCTCGGCTAGCATTTATTACCCATCCTTGGTTGCCCTTGACAGGATAATGATGAACTGCTTCTTGAACCACTGCAATGCATTTGGTGTGGTAGCTATGGCAGTTTCAAAGAAATGAAGTCACCTTGCCTTCTCCCTCACTGTCTCTAACTTCAAAGCGGAAGGTCCTGGCCCTGCCAGCAGGACTGTCAATCTGTGGGTACTGGAGGCACTCCCATTGACCTATCAGTGCCCCAGCCCCAACACACACTGACCAACTCCATTAACCCCTGACCCCACAACATCACCCCTGACCCATATCCTTGTGTCTGCTTATCACTGACCTGTGTGGGTTTGAGACTTGAACCAGTTGGGATTTTACATCTGAATATACAGAATGCCAATTTACTGGTGCCACTGGGTCTAGAGCATTGTTGTGTGTTTCATGTTGGAACAGGGATATTAGAAAGTTGGAATAAATGCCAGTAGGTCTTGGGAAAATAAATGGCAGCATTTCTTTTTCACAGGTGAGCTCAGATTTAAGAATGCATGCCTGAGGTTGCATAGCTTAATTATCTTATTTGATGATAGCTTTACACAGGGGAATTTGTTTA